CATCCGACCGATAGAAGTTACAAAAATATTCGATTTATCGTTTTCATGAAAATCGATTTATCCGTTATAATTAATCGATTATTTTTGATTAATCGAACATTTTCAATAAATTGTTTTAGTTTTTTTAGGTAATGGAATAATCGATTATAAAGGGATTACAAAAAGAGAGTAGATTTATTCAAAATATTCGATTTATTAAAAATAATCGTTTTTTTTTTTTTAGAAAAATCGATTTTATTCTTTCATCGATTTTTAAATTAATCGATTATTTTCGATTTACCCGCCAATATTTTCGATTAATCGATTATTTTCGATTAATCGATTATTTTCGATTAATCGAATATTTTCAATTTTTCAAAGGTATTCAAATAATTTGTTTTAAAAGAAATGCGAAAAAATAGATTATATGAAAATAATCGATTGCTCGAATATAATCGGTTATTTTATATAATAGATATTTCGGTTATTTTTTAGAAATATCGATTTTTTGGTCAATCAGCTTTTTATTAATCGATTATTTTCGATTTTTCAAAGATAATCAAATAATCAATTTTAAATGAGATATGAAAACAAAAGGATTATTTGAAAATAATCGATAATTCAATTATTTTTTTGGAAAATCGATTTATCGTAAAATCGGATTTTTAATTAATTGGTTATTTTCCCGTAATCGATTATTTTTGAATTAAGCGATTATTTTCGATGTTTTAAAAATGATCGAATAATTGATTTTAAAGGAAATAATTCATTTTTTTTTTAAATCGATTTATCGATTATTCGACTTTTTAATTAATCGATGATTTTTGATTAATCGATTATTTTTGATTAATCGATTATTTTAGATTTTTTTTAAAGATTATTGAATAATCTATTTCAATGAAAATAGGAAAAAATAGATTATTTGAAATAAACGATCATTTGTTTATTATTTTTTGTAAACACTGATTTATCGGTTAATTGGCTTTTAAATTAATCTATTATTTTTGATTTTTCAAAGATAATCAAGTAGTCGATTTTAAAGGAAATACGAACAAAAATAGATTGTTTGAAAATAATCGATTGATCGAAAATTATTATTATTAATAATGAATAATTTATTTCGATAATCACCCACTCCTAGCGACCAAATGACTTTTAATAGGTTTAAATTTTAAAATGTTATCTGGTTTCAGACAAACATTTCTAGAGTTATATGTGACTCATCCTCTATATTAATTAATATTCCTAAAGAAACAAGTTTTAATATATCTTTTTCTGAGGTTATAATACAAAACAGCATTTTCTCATTTTGACTAATTTTTAATATTATGTGATAGTCTTAGAAAAAATATAATGTTTAACTTACAAGGTTTGATTTGCAGTATTCGCCTGTGCACATGCTTTTTTATAATACTCTTAGACAATGAATACCATTTTTTACTCGATTAACAATATTCTCTTTCAACATTTTACTGCAGTCTCTTACAGAAAAGTCCGTAGTAAATAATAGCTAACGAAATATTCTATAAAAGCTCTTCTCTTTACATATAAAATGTCGTGGCATCTGTTTGATATTAAAAAATCACGTTAAATTTATTTCATAATACAAAATTCCATTGAACGTATATTTTAAATAAATCTAATAGTTCATTATGATGCTAATAAGCAAAGTCCGGTCCCTGTCACAGAGTTCGGGTCTCCAGTTCCCCCACTCCGTTAACCTTTCTTTAGAAATTGGCAATATTTGCGCAGGTTAAACACCGGTGTATGTTATATCTCCGGTCTCTTTTATCTAAGGCAGAAACAAATTATTTACAAAAAGTAAGTACACAAAAACATTAATTTTTATTTGGTAAATTTTAACATTTTTTGTCAAGTTTAAGGTTTGTTCCAACATAAACCAAATCAGTTTGTGTACTGTCGGGATTCTGCGCAGTCTAGAATTTGTGTTCCAACAAACCTTAGACTCGAAACTGTACAAAAACATAGTGTTCCAACACAACCAAAATTAATCACAAACCGATTTGTGTACTGTCAAATCAGTTCCTGGGTCTGAATAGGAACGAATTGTCAAGACATGCGCTAAGCCGCAATAAACTGAACATTTCGTGATTGTAATTATATTATTTGTATCTATTGTCTCTGACAGTTCTAATTTGTATTTGTTAATCGAGCTTAGTCTTCATAGTTTTTATTAATTATCATTTATTTTATTTTGTGGTTTATTATTGTAATAATGCGTCTGTTGAATTTAAAAAAATGTGTTCCAACATAATCGAGTTCCGAGTTGAGTCCAAATCCCCCAGGGGGGGATATCGCGCATGGTGTCATGGCGGCGCTGACGTCATGCGTAGAGTTAGTAGAGCTGGCGCGAAATAAATATCATATGACAGACGCATTTTGCAGTAGTTTGTGAGCCGTTTATAGTGATTTATAAAATACTAAGCAGATATTTGTATTATATTGTGTTGTAAACTTTGTTCTCTATGAGTGGCTTTAATAAAAAACATTGAAAAATTGCGGTACGGATGTAACAATAACAATTAAAGGAAAGGATTCAAGAAAGATATGGTTTCTCGCTTTCCTCGACAGCAAGAGCTTAGTCAGAAGTAAGAAGTGGCCCAAGGGCGGCTCCAGCGGAGGCCCAAGAGAGCATGCCGTTCCCTAGATTAATATTCTTAAAATCCATGAGTCCTTTTTTAAATAAAAAAATATGCTAAATAGGCAATTCTACCATCCTTCCCAAGAAAATTCAGCATGGAGCAGCCCGTACAGTGGCTTGTGACCCTGCAGATAAATTTTCGTATGTATTCCAAGCACTTTCAACCTTCCAATTATAAGAGAGATCTTAAATCAGAACTTCACATAATGTGAAGCTGTGAATGAACCAGTGTGAGTCACATTGGTTAATTTGCAACTTGGGACTTCTAAACTGGAGACTCTACCCTTTGAAGGCTAAAAATTTCGCAATATAAGCAAAAGTAAAATTGTGAATGTCACCAAAGAATAGGAAAATTTCGACTTGTACTTGATGAATGATTTAAAAAACGTCAGCGACTAGGTCCAGAAAACATGCAGCGACATTTTATGTTAATTTTGTATTTGGTACATTTTTTATATTATATGAAAAAAAATTATTTTTTTAACTTATTTTTATCCAATTTGGTAAAATAATGCAGGTAAATAAGTTGCAAATCCTAATCAGGTAAAAATTTCCGGCATATCCAGATGTGAAATTGTTACCAGGATCCCCAGTTTCAAGTTGCGAAGATACCCTTTATTTTATTATCCTGGTTATAAAAACTATTCTTTAGAACTCGAATTTGTATAAACAAAATAAATCATTAAAAAAAAAAGGAAAAAACTGTTAAAAAAATATTTCTTTTATGTATGTATTGGCATTTATATTCGTTCATAGTTCTTTCCTTAACTATCCTATAATAATATCCATAGATATTTCATGTAATTTCTAAAATATTATCCTTAATACTCATCAAATTTCTATATTAGCATATATTTTCCTCACACTTCGTTAGTATTTTTAAATTCGCACCTATACAAACTCTACGCATGACATCATGCGCGTGGCCGTCCTATTTTTGACACTGTTGATATCCTACCTTTTATTTTTTATACCATGCAAATCCCCGACCAGTACCTGACAAGTTGTCAATTACTAGTCATCGACAGATTGTCAACAATAAGTTTTGGACTGGTTTATGTGTTGTTCGTAGATCGTTGTTGGAACAAACCTATACTTTGAAATTACTCAAAACCAATTTTCCTGTTCATTTATCTTATTCCTATATATGTTCGTGTCTTGATCATGCCTGGCATTACTTCAAAAGGACCGTCGCATTGGGACAGGAAACTACTATTGCTTAATGAGGCCCGTGCACCTTGTGGAATTCAGTTTCCTTTTCTTGCGTCTATGTTTAAGAGGAATCTCACAACTACTTTCCACAAAATGGATAGGGCAATTTCAATTAAATTTGTCCTTTCTTCGATAAAAATTTACCCATATTTTGTGGCATTCGGAAATATCTTCACTGTGCAGCCCGGCATTTTAAACATTAATTTAGTTCTTTCCTGTTATATATAGGAAAATATAGTCACTACTAACACAAAAACATATAAATTATTAAATTATTTTACACTACTCAATCGAAAAGTGTCAAAATAACTTGAAAGTTCGTCCCGCATTATGTCATGCGCGGTTTGGACGAATTTTGAATCAAAAGTCAGCATACCTTTAGTATGTGTATCCTGCTGGGACCTATCCCAAAAGTATTTTCGGTCCTAGAGATAATAGACTTCTAATTACTCCGTTCCTGATCATTCTGTATTTTGTCATTTTTGTCACATTCTCTATCATTAAAAATATTTACCATTTACGAGGAAAGTAAAAAAAAAAATTTGAATTTGGCTTACGAGTAAAGTATTATTAAAAATATAGAAAAAAATATTTAAAAAACTTGTTTAGAAACAATATTTACGTTTAAATATGAAATATATAAAACAAAATTAAAAAATACAGGAATAAACTTTACTACGGAAAAAATGGAATAAAGAGCAATCGTCTCGAACAAGCGGAATGAAATGAGATCCTCGCACTTCTATTTAATACACTTCAGCTATTTCTGTCGCTATTTAGCCCTGTCATAAAAGTGCCTGCATGAAGTTGTTAGAAATAAATCTTCAGTTGATGGGAGAAACCAAAACAAACAATACGGGGAAAAATAATGGAAGCATACATACGTTATCTTTCCAATACTAACTCCAGGAGAACGGTATAAAAAAACAATACTATTGAATAGACAAAAATAGAAGATATCGCCGACTGTGGTTCGCAATATCCACTCCTTGCCATCGAAAACCCGTAGTTAAACCAAGGTACTATCTTTAATTCGCTCAGGTCCAAATATTATTAAACATATCATCTTTATTTTGCTTAATGCATTGGTTAACATATTGTATGTGCAAACTGGGATGAATTAGAAGGAGACAAAGGACTTACTTACCCGAATCAGTAGTAACCTTAGGTGCTCGGTATTTCTTTCTAAAAACTCTCTTCAAAAAATCGTAAAACTTGTTATTCTCGGCGGCGTGTCTGAATTTCTCCTGAATCTTCGTTTCTTCAAGGAAATTAGTCTCGAACGTATTTTCGATTTCGATTTTTTTGTTCTTTTCGATGTCGATGTCATCCTCGAGGCTATGCACCAAGCGTAAACTTTTGTCGCACTTCGCCGATAACGTTTCCTCGCCCTCTTCCATCCGCTTCAAGATGTTTAGTTCCTGGTTTAGCGTTAGGATGTAGATGTCGACGAAGAGACCTTTGACTTGCGCCGGTATTCTTTCGTCCTTCGCGTCTTCGAGAGCGGCGTTGAAATCGGCTATTTCCTCTTCCATTTTGCTTATCGTTACTCTCTGGATAAAGAGCTTTCTGAAATTAATTGCATTTGTAAAATGTTGTTTCTTTACTTTTATTACTGGAAAAACCGAAAGTAAGCCATGAAGTCACAGAATAATTGAATCCTTTATAAGAAAACTCTTAATCAAAGATATAAACCAAAAAAGTAATTTTAATATCACTAATAATAACTAAGATAGGAGTGGGAGGAATTTTTAGGTTTACCAATAACAAAAATGCTTAGATACGCCACTGGTGTAATTTGTGTAATTTGTCTTCCTTCAGCGAGTTTATTAGTAACACATTTTGAAATGATATTATCCAATATGGTGGCTATTTTTACCGCTGATAGAACATTTTCAATAAAATCTGTTTATTTAAAAATATTCAATAAATTCCAAAATTCAATAAAAATGGGTTATTATTTTTTAAAGTGTTTAAAGGTATATTCTTCTTTAAACGAGTTATTAATAACACATTTAGAAATAGTATTATCCGATATGGCGGACATTTTAACAGCTGACAGAACATTTTCAAAAAAAGATTAAGGTTTCCATAACAAATAAAAAATAATTTGCGTTTTATTATTTCCGGAAAATTGACAGTGGCGGCTGGTGAGGGAAGGTGCTGCGAAGTAGCAGGAGTCATCTGCCTGTATGCAAATGAGCTATTTCCATAATACTTAATCAGTAATTTGGATCAGATGCAGAGAGGGTTGCCACCTGTTCTTCTTTTTTGTCCTTGTTTACCTGAGGCTTGTTTTTTTAGAAGCTCGGTAGAAGTATCAGGGATTGATTAAAAAATATTATGAGGACCTTTGTTTTTTTAAGATGCTCGGAAAAATACTTAAACCGGATCCCCTTTTTTTACATATTTCAAGTTTACGGTAAAAGTAAATGATTTTTGGTATTATTTTTTGGTGCTCTTATACTCAGCCCTCCCTATTACACAAGTAACGAGCCAACACTGATTATTGAATCAGTTATAATGAAGTTCTTACTTCAATTTTTTTTTAAATATTAATTCCGTTATCTCAATTGATAATGAAGATTAAAAGAGGGTGAAACTTTTAAGTAAATATATGTCAAAAACAGGTGTAGATTAAAAAATATTTACTTTGTTAGTCTACGCGTGCGCATTTCATCTTCGAATGGAGTATCCTTGTCTTCACTATAGTTGTTTAACAGTTCTTTGAAATCGGCTTCCAGAGCGTACGCTATTTCATCGGGAGAATACGAAGATATAAATACTTCTTTATTCACTTTCGGAAATTCTAATTCGTCTCTTTGCGGAAGAACCTGTTGAAGCATTTCCTCTTTTGTCGGTGCCTAAAAAAATTGTGAAAAACTTTTGGGACTGTACTATTCCCAACAAACAATTTGGTCTGGTGAAATAATGACCCAATAACTGTTTGCCTCCAATTATAATAATGGTCTTTAAACTTTTGTCTACAAAGGGCCGGCATATATAGGTCACTGCGGCTGGTAGTCGGACCACAAATATTTTGCCATCAATAACATTTACAGGACTTTTAACATCCCAGAATCACTTTGCCAGCATATAGTTAAAGGGTCTTTAACGGGCCTTTAACGGGCCTTTACTATTTTAACTATTAAAACTTCGCTGGATGAGTGCAAGCTCAATATTGACTATTTTTAATATTTTAGTTTATTGAAAAATTAAAGTCTAATTTGAAGAAAACAATGATTATTAAAATTAAATAAATCATCGAAACATTGGCAATTGAAACAGTTTTCCTTGAATTAGACCTTCATTTTACCACAAACTTTAAATACAGCTATAGTTCGGTTTAATATTTCGATTTTTTTTAACTCGTCATAAAAAAAACAATTATTATTTTTGAAATCCGAAAATTCAGTGTTTTTAAACTATGCATAAGATTGTCAAAATTAAATCGAATGTGTCGTAACACTCGTAAAACACTGACTTTACCACGAAATATAAATAATTTTTTTTGCCTAACTATAAAAACAATAATACAAATCAGTAAAAATTTGTTGCATTTCGAATTATTGCAGTAGATTTAAACAAAAAATAAATTGCTGGAATTTGGTGGCTTTTTTGCTGTAATTGAAGGGAAAATGAATGCGACGATTAAAAGATAAAAGCCTACTTTTGGCCTTTCGATGATGGCCCAGCATTATGTTGGTTGATGATGGCCTTATGAAAAGTAACTGTAGTTGGTAAAATCATGGTAAAAGTCAAAAAGCTTTTAACCAGGGGCTGGTAACTCAAATGGAAAAACATGAGGAAGGTAATTTAGTACCACTCCAATTAACGGGATGGCGCTCGTATCGAAATGTCATGTCAATTGTCAGCTCGTCAAAACTTCAAACTTAGAAAAATTAACATGGCTGTTGCATTTGAAGGTGTATTAGATTTTGATTCATCTAGATTTATTTTTCAACACCTTCCAATTATAAGCATGTTTTCAAAAGATGGCAAGATGGATTTCAGCAACGAGCAATAAAGCACTCCCAGATATTGGTAGTGATGCAATTTATACTAGATTAAATATGCGATCGTCATATTAAGGATAACCAAACAATTTGTAATAAGTGTCTTAAGAAAAATGCATCTTGCGTTTTTGGCACCAATGGTAAGTAATATTTACAAACTTGTTTTTGATTCAGTGTTAAAATAATTGGTTTGTTATTTAAATTTCTATTTGTTTTCAGTTTTAAAATGTAAAGAATGTAAAGAAAATGTTGGCCCTCCAAAATACCCTGTCGATCGATTAAATATTTGAGCCTCAAAAATTGATTCAATGCCATTGACATCAAACAAGAAAACACCCCAAAATCTTTAAGGGTCCAAACGTGAGTAAGTTTTATTTAAGCTCGAACGTTAAATTCATTTATCAGAGTGCCCTAATGATGAATAAGAATTTGATAACTACAAGTGCTGTACAAATCAATAAAAACAATTATCGGATGAAGAAATGCTCCTCAACCTAACTAGTCGACTCAATAAGCGTATGGCAAATTTTATTCACACTCAAATTCGCTTTGATAGTAAGACACCAAAAGGATGCTGCTTCAACTTCAATTTTTTCAAACTTATTTGCCATTCCAAGTCGCAAAACTTTTATAAACGTTTTGAGCACTTATATATGCCGATTTTGTTACAGAAAACATTTCTGATAGGTTTGTTTTATAAATATTTAATTATTAAATGGTGTAAATGCATATTTGTTTGAGTATTTCCATGTTTAAATAGACAAATTATATGATGCGGCGTTAATTTACTGTAATAAAAATAAATTGCATTTTATTTCAAGTTTAAAATTAATGCAAAAATATAATGAAGTAAAATCAAATAAAAATATAAATTGGCAATATATTTGACTAGTTTCAAATCACAAAACAGTCAATATGGTTGTTTTATGATTTGAAACTAGTCAAATATTTTTCCAATTTATTTTTTTTGTTTGATTTTCTTCATTACATTTTTGCACAGCTCATGGCGGCCATATTGAATTTTAGTACCACTCCAATTTGATAGATGGCAGCACATCGCCTCAGAATTTTACCATTGAGTTTCCCATCTATTCACTTTCACCTAATCTATGCTTTTAACTACCGCAGACCCAACCCTAGCAGTCCAGGGTATCTATTCTTGAATCTCAGGGAGTAGAAATTTTGAGGGAAGAATGAGACAAAAATACAAATTTTTGCGTTGCAGATAAAGATGAAAAATCGGTTTTCTATTCCCTCGAATTCAAGAAAAGCTACCCAGGAGGGCTCCGTCCCGCGTTTATAGACTGAGACACCGATGATCGCTTGCTACACACTCAACGAGTGGACTATGCGACTAGCCTCGAGTTGCTGGTATTCATTGTAATTTCTTACTTTTACATGTTATTAATTTAGAATATTTTATGAACAAACTTTTTGTAGAAGAATACCTTTTTTGTCTTGTATTATATTGTATAGCTGAATTAATAGAAATGTCTATATTTTATATTGGAATGCCTTCTGTTTTTGTATAGAATGTATAGTTCAAACGGTACTAATCACAAAGCACATAGAGGTTCCACGTGAATGACCAAGGTCAAAACCGACAACTGACATTTTTTTATGCTATTTGCTCCAAACTCTAGATGGGGCTACTGGTGAAATTATGATTTCTTACTCCATTTTTAAGCTTTATGGGAGAAAAACTTAACCAAAGACTCCAAAGATGTGACGTGTATTTATTTATGTTCTTGGTTAGTCTCATTTTTCCATCTGATTTTAGTGATTTTTTTGTTGGCTTTGGCTTTTGGTTTCTGTTTATAGTTTCGTCTTAGTTATTTGCAAAATTGTGATGTTTCGCTTTTCTATTTCCTACTGTGTTTTGCAATAATTTTGGTGCTACGTTGAAAACTTCGAGAAAAACTTCATTGATTCACCATGCATCTGCATCATAAAAAAACAAACGGGTAAAACAACTAATTGATAATCAATTTATCACCGGACTAGATTCCGAAATCATTTTTCACATACCACCATCTGTATTTGGCAGGAAAATACCTATTTATCATTGAATGAATAGTTAAAAGGATTCACCTTTTAATACAATACCTATATTACATTTGTCCTCGGTTAAAAAGACATTTATAAAATATATAACTTTAGTGTTAATAAAATGTAATATCCTAGTCTCTACTTCACATTTAAATTATTGATAGGTATTTTAAAGATGTGAGATTATATATCTATTTGCTCCAAATATTCGTTAAATATGTATTATTATTTGTATTTATTTTTATCTAATAATATTTATTTAAGTTATTAATAAACATATTTTAAGAATGTTTTATTTTATTATTTATTGATATATCTTATATTTATTTAATAATAATATGCAGAACCAACTCTCCACATCAGACCCTTTAAAACAAATTAATTCCTCAAATTTGGTATAATCGACCTAAATTATTTAAATAAATAATTAATAAAAAAAATCAAATAAAAGTTTCGATCTTACTAGTTCCATACTTTATTTGATAAAATAATTTATGTGGAAATCATTTAAAATTTAATTTAAAACTACTACCTACTCCTAAAAATTACAATTTGAATTTACCGCCATCTGTCAATTGTCATTTTAGTTCCAGCTCCAAACACAAGGTGGCGCTAATTTGGTTTAAACGTTTAACATTGGCGTGGGGTCTCTAGAAGATACGTGCTTTGTGGTACTAATGGTCGAATCACTTGTCTGGTCATTTGCCTTGTACTTATCCTTTATTCAGCAGTTAGTATTAATATGGTAAAAGGCCTGCAATTTGCCATTAGCTGCCATATATTTATTTCAGACATTAAAGAGAAAATGGATGTCTATTAACTGGATTTGATGGCTAAGTGACTTCGGCCCACCTTACTGTCGCCCGTAGTGACCTATATATGCCGGCCTTTCAATTATAAAAGTTAAATGGCCATCATTACATAACAGTTATTGGGCCTTCTATTCCCCTACAAAAAATGTTTGTTTGGCTTGTAAAAACTCGGATCGACATTACTTTAACCCTAGAAACGTCATATTTTTTATCTAATCGTTTCGAAGTTTAAACTGTCAAACAATTACTTACAGGTACGAATGGAACCTGATCTTCGTCTTCCAATTCCTCGAGTTCCGTCTTCGGTAAAACGATAACCGGTTTCAATTTTTCTTCCGGGAACTCGTCCATATCAATGTCCGGCACGTTCGGTCCATACTGGTGAAGTTTCTCGGGAAGCTCATTGTGAATATCATCCAGGAGTTTTTTGTATCCAGTCAAACGACCTATGACTTGATATTTTAAATCTCGAATTTCGTATACTTTCTCCATATAGCCATGTCTCAAATTGTATTGCTAAAACCGATTCATTTACATCAAGAATACGAGTACACATATACGTTTGGATTTTAATATCTAAATATAAGTAGTAAGATATCAACGTAATAGTATATCTATTAGCTAATTAATATTAAATAATTCTGTATAATATTCTCCGCTATTTTAATAGCTTATAAATGGGAGAAGTTATCTCAGTTAATGGCTGAACTTCGAGGCTATTGTTTCAGTAATCTATTTGTGTTAACTTATGTTAAACTGAGATAACTCCTCCCATTTTTAGATTTGCCAGTGCCCATCTAATTCTGACTTGCCAACTCAATATTGTCGTACTATACAGTCTTCAACAATATCCATATCCCAGAGGTTACTTACAACCGTATGCATAGTCGATCACCAGCGACTCGCCAGAGATTCATTTCGGCGTATCGCCAGCGATTCGCTGGCGATCCCCGCCGGCATCTCTCGAGTTTTATTAATGATTCATTTCTTAAAACTCAAAAAACAATGAACGCATATCAAATTTTTCCCTATAAAAGAACATGAAAACTTGCGTGAAATGACATGCCGGTGACAATCTCTGGCGATACGCCGAAATGAATCGACTATGCATACGGCTGTTAATTGATGTCCTTAGTTGGTTAAAAGTACCATTAATAACTTTAGTAGTAACCCTAAACCAATGTCACTGACATATTTGATATAATTAATACTTAAGATGTCATAAAAGTCACTGCGAACGCTTGTTTTCATTAAATTTCATGTTTTACCAGATCACGTAGGATACAGGTAATGTTGAATACTCGTTACAATCACATTTAAATTAAAATAGAAATCATTGCAGTCGTTAATGTTTAATAAGACCACGAGATAGAGAAAATTATTAACTGATTATAATACGCAAAAATATAATAAAATATTCAGTAGTTCTTATTTTTCGTCAGTAAAAAATAGATTTAAAATATTGAATTTTTTTTTAAAAGGGAAATTTTCATAATTCTTTCGTTCGAGAGATTAGAAATGCTGCAATAATTAGTGTACCTTGAGTCGGGTATCCAAGACTTGTTTGTATTTTTTTACTGTGGTGTCTCTAACTTCAGGAGGAGCTTTGTAATCGTCTGCTTCTTTTAATTTGTAGTCGCCTATGTTCTGGATGGCTTCCGCCAGAAATTTTTCGTCCTCTGGATGATTTTTGTCCGGATCTGGTTTTTTCGATGTAAATTCTTCCCACTTGTATAAACAATAAGAAATCAGATTTTGATTTATATATAAAATAAATTGCAAACTTAATTCTTCCCAATTGTATAAACAATAAGAAAATAAGGTTTTTAATTTATATATAAAATTTAATTATCAATGTATTTAATTTCTACACTTTCCACAAATGAAACAATTTAAATTTAAATTAAAATATCGACTTTCGTAAAGCTAGCCACTGCCAAATTTTGTAAATTACATAGAATGCGTTAATCTACATGCAAATGCGAGCGCAAAATGTTGATAAAATAATGGCAATGTTGCCAACTTTAATTTTTTAAATTACGTTATTTCAGTACACTTTTATTGTGATAATGGGTCGTATGATTGAACGTTTACGTTATCCGTAACGTACATGTTAGGCCGAGTTTTAACAGTAACAAGGCAAGTTCGTACGATGGAAAACTTTTTCCAACACATAACTGTTATTTTCTGCCTGTTATGTTCTAATTTAACAGGTTTCCATCATAAGAACTTGCCTCGTTACTTTTAAAATTTGACCTAACATGTACGTTACGGCTAACATGTACGTTACGGATAACGTAAACGTTCAATCATAGGACCCATTATTGCCGCATTTGAATATTCACATCGGATGCATCTGAGATGTTGTGAATTTTTTATCACGTGATAGAGAATTAGATCTGAATAATGTAGATGTAATAAACAAACGCTCTATGCCGCATTTGAATATCCACATCGGATGCATCTGATATGTTGTGAATTTTTATCACGTGATAGAGAATTAGATCTGAATGTAGATGTAATAAACAAACGCTCTAGACTTTATTGGTCACGTGATAAAATGACAATGACAAGTTAGACATTTATACTTTTGAGATTTGACTTTTGAGACTACAAATCAACCTAAATTTGAAATCTAAACAAACATTAAACAAACTAATCAATTTTATATTCATGCTAGCATAAACTAAAGAATAAATTGACAAACTTGGCTTCACAGAACACTTACTTTTTGGTATGGAAGATGGAAGGAACATCTCATTTTAAATCGAGATGTAAAAAATGTCATCTGGACAGGTACATCTCGGATAAATAAACGCAGATGTAGATGTAGTAGATGCGTCCGATGTAAAAAATGCATCGGATGTGAATATTCAAACGGAGCAGACAATGACAAGTTAAAAGTTTATGATATCGTATCTTTTTTGATTGCCGATGCAATTTGCCAACGCCGCATGACATTGCTGCTCGCGCTTATATGCATCCTAACGTGTTTTATGTCACAAATCGTCAACATAACCTAAATAATTTTTTGCTGAATGATGACGGCAAATTTGCGTTTGATAAACATACAATATTTTTAAATATTCCAGTGTTAAAAGTGCTTATTAATTCAAAATGACAACTCTCTTCGGTTGGGATTTGCTATACAAAAGCGTCGAACAAGATATAAAGAACAATCACGATATTTTAGTGTGTTTGACCCATCTAGTTTTGGTATCCAACGATTTTAGATGTATCGGATTGGGAGAATCGAAAGTTCTGGATGGAGACGAACAGAAATCTGAGGCCTTGCCGAAAAACTGGAACGAGCATTACGCCATAAGGTACGTCCACAAAGGTAAATTGTACAATTTAAAAGCCACCCCTCTGGATGACGCTATCATGATTAATTTGATAAGAATCGATGAGAGAACTGTGTCTTTTGTGCAACTGAACCCTCGCTTTGTAGCCCAACGAACGGGATCTTTAGATGAAATGATACCAAACAACCAAAACATAGTGGAACAGATAAAAACTCAGTTGATCGATAAGGTGATTGTCTCGAAAAAATCCAAAGAAACTTCAAGCCAAACAGATCCTCAAAGGAATGTTATCGCTTCTGATAATACTCAGGTATTACCAAATCCAAGTGGTCAACGTATTTTTATACCATTTCCACAAAGCTATTCACCTTCAGATTATGGTAGAAGTGATTTGGACCCCCTAGGTGGTATTGGTATCGGACCTGTAAGGGTACCCCCGCCTGCTGGTGGAGGGATGCTTTTCCAGCCCCCTGGACCATCATTTGGAGGAGGATTTGGTGGAATACCTGGAGGTCCGCCACTTGGATTGCCTCCTGGTGCTGTCCCTCCGGGTTCGAGGTTTGATCCTTTTAGGCCTCCCGACGTCGATAGATTTCCCCCTAGAAGGCCTAATAGACAAGATAATGATGAATTTCCTCCTCCAGGTTATGATGATATGTTTATGTAGATTTAAGAATTCAAGAATAAGTTGTATGGTTAAGATTTTTCTAATATAATAAAGGCAGTATCTTTGGTTTTATTCATGTTTTATTTTTATTTGTTTTTATGTTAATAAAATGAAAAATTGTACTCATGTTAGTGTGTTTCTGCATGTGAGTTACTTATATATATTTTTATACTATCCATCGTAAACAAAAATTATATGTATTTAGTTTTTTTGATGTAATTAATTAATATAGCCAGTTATTGATATAGTTAATAAATAATATTCTACAAAATTTAATACCTGTTGAACTGATTGGTGCAGTTCATATCCTAATAATTCAGTTGCCTGATATTGTTAAGATATGATTCAAGAAATCTGTATAGTGTACATAGCTTTAATATATTAGTAGAAGAACAGTACACTTATTGTATTACTTTAGAACCTTTTTTTGATATTTTCTTAACTAATTTAATAGTGAGGTGACATTTTGTGAATTTTGCAAGCAATAATTTGTTATAACCAATAAAAAATATTCAAACAGAAACAAATACAGAGAGTAGGTATATAACTTGTAATGCTTTCTTTTCACTATTAAATGAGTGAATTTTGGAGAGATTATTTTTATAACTATCAATTGCATAATTAATATTACATTTCAACAAGGACTCTAAGAAGTTAGATCACTTCCCCTGCCAGTATGTGAATGGTTTGGGAATCTTAGGAAAGAATTAAATACATAAGTTTAAAATTAAAATACATATTTTATTCTAATAAAATTAAAACAGTAATTCCATAGTATGGATAGAGATATAAAGGTTTGGAAAGGTAGATATTTAAAGACAAAGCAATAAATAACAAAAATACAATTTAAATTTTTCAATACAAACAGTAATCTTTAAATATCAATAAAACAAAAATCACACCCTAAAGTTTATTAAAAATAAGACTTAAGTAATGAAAATTCATTTTCTTCTATTAGCCCTTCTTGCATTCCTTTTGCTTTATTTTTTTATTATACAGTGCGTCCAATTAAGTCAGCACCAAATGGGAAACTTTTTTACTGATATTTTATGGAAAAAAATATTCTTTACAAAAAGTGCGTATTGTAAAATGTAACACTTCATTTGGAAGCTAATTTTATTATTAATTCAGTGCACCACATAACATTAATCTAAATAGCTCCATATTGCACACTTAAATTGAATAGCTTAAATTAAATACTTCAGTAAATAAATCAAACACTGTAAACTGTACATAAAATATTTGAATTTAAACACTTCAAATTTAATATTTCTAATTGACTACCTCAATAAATCAAATACTTTAAGTTAAATACCTTAATTTAAATATTCTAAATCAAACACTCTAAATTAGATACTTTAAATTAAATATAATAATATTTGAATATATCACTGCAATAGAAAGTGCAGAAGAATTATACGAGGTACGTATTTTTTTCTTTTAAATTTAATTTTTTTAATTAAGGTACTTTTAAAATTGTAGTATTGTTTTAAATTTATCAGATTTGTTCTCTTGGTAGTTGTAATACCCACTCATTTTATTTTAAATATGTTATTTTTTATTTTTTTTTTTATTTATTTAGAATATGACTAATATGAGGATATTTATGTTTTGCTGTAAAATAAAATGATCTTTGACCTATGGTCTTTTGCGTATTTGATTTTGTTTGTAGCAAGTGTCGTGAACATGATTTATTTTTTCTAACATTATTGGTTTTTATGTTGTAGGATCAATATTTTAAACATGTATATTTGTGCCGCGTTTGAATATCCACATCGGGTGCATCTGAGATGTGAATTTTTTTATCACGTGATAGAGGGTTAGATCTAGATCTGAATGTAGATGTAATAAACAAACGCTCTAGACTTTAGTTGGCCACGTGATAAAATGACAAGAACACACTAATCACTTTTATGCTTTTATATTTACGCCAGTATAAATAAAGGTTAAATCAATAATCTTGGCTTCACAGAACACCTACTTTCTGACATGGAACGAACATCTCATTTCAAATCGAGATGTAAAAAATGTAATCTGGACAGCTACATCTGGAATAAACAAACGCAGATGTAGATGTGGATAAACAAACGCTCGAGATGTAAAAAATGCATCCGATGTGGATATTCAAACGCGGAATTGATTAATATAAGATAATTTTCTTCATATAAAAAGTTAGTATCATATTGTTTAGGTTTTTTTTAGAATAGTCAGCACAAAATATGTCCATTGGATATACAGTTTTAGATGTCTGAACATCCAAAAATGAGTTTTTTCTGTACCTCCGATATCCAATGGACGTCCAGTGAAGCATAGACATGGTACACGTTTGACCATTCATAAGACGTCACTTTCTGTTACGTTGAATACTGGACATTTAAAAAAATGTCCATTTTTGGATTATATTCCATTGAGACCACATCCCCATTTTTTTTACTCAATCGCGACTCACCACACACTATTTTCATTGCGTTCGGTTTGCCACGTTCCTTTAACTCCTTTAACACTTTTAACTCCAAACGACTCTTTTAGCGTTCGGTTTAGTCCGATTAGTGACAGTTTAACAGGCTTAAATGTCATTTAAAAGCTCCCTAAAATTTGTCCCGCTCCAGCCCCTGACTGACCGAACTCGCCTTTTAAATCATTAATATTTTTTTCGCAACCCTCTATGCACCATTTTTTTTAGGAAAAACTCTTGACCTGAGTAGTTTTCGATCTCACGACACGTCCGCTAACGTTCTACGCTTTCAACCGCTAGATGTCTGAATACGGATATGGACATTCTGACCCTCAAATGAATCTAAAGTGGACGTCCATTGGACTATGTGTGCTGTCTGGGTAATAGCCATACCATACTTTTTCTTGAAAAATTTCTTCGTAGCCGAAACACAATATCCTTAACCTTTTTCTATTAGTTTATGTACATCCCATTTTAAAAACCTGTCAATTTCGATTCCCAGATATCTACAACTATTTGTTTCCTGTATTTCTAATTTATTTTGATTTTGAGATAAAGTTAGCTTTTTATTTTTTTTTTTGTTACATGAAGGGGTATGTAATTTGTTTTTTCGAAATTAATTATTAAGGACATTTTATCAAACCCATTTTTTATACTGATTAGATCTTTCTCGGCATTGTTTTACACTTTTCCAAGATTTATCCTTTTCCAAGATTTATCCGAATATTTTATAACAGTATCATTAGCAAATATGTTACCATTGCTTTTTATCTCTAAAAGACCATATGAATAATAGAATGGGCCCCAGTAGTGTTCCTAGTGGAAAAACATATGTCACAATACATAGATAGCTTATCTTCAATTTTGACATATTGGACTCTGTTAGCTAGGTAAGATTTTAATATATTTGAAGTTACTTCTCTGAAACCAAGGTCTTCTAGTACATCGATCCATATTTTATGATCTATGCCCAATGGTATCGGAAGTCTTTAAGTCTAAAAATACACATAAGGTTGGTGTACTTTCGTCAAGTTTTTTTTATAAATGTTATTAAATAAAAATGTTATGTCTTAATATTCTGTTGACATACCTTGCTTAAAGCCAAATTGTCTTTCAGATATACATTGATTTTTTTTTTCTAGGAAGGAAACTATTTGCAATTTTATAATATTTTCCACAACAAACTAAAATCGACCTGTCTGAGCGTTTTTTAACATCGACGATAATAATACCCAAAATCTCCTTATCAGATTTTCGTTGGGCCACTTTGTATATATAGCCATGCGCTCGTTGCTGTGATTGGTTTCTGTTCTAGTTTATGGTATACGATCCAATCAGAATACATTGTTTTATAGTATTAACCAATAAAAACGAGTAATACATGATCACATGGTGGATACTCGAGTTGTTCCACTCCACGTTCACTAGACACAAGAGCAAACTACAGACCTCTTTATCGACAATTCTATGCGGTACTTACCTTTTGACATTTTTAGTAGATATACAGTGTGTCCCCGGATAGGTAAAACAACTCTTAAAAAGGTACCAAATTCTCGATTAAATTTTTTTTTGTTCCAGCCCAGCTTGGTTAAATACTTATTTTTAACATAATTACAGTTTTGAGCAATTAGGGATGTCTTGGAAATTTTCAAAAAACTATTTTTCTTCAGAGTAGAGTGCCTTTTATGTTGCAGATATTACCAAAAGTTATTAAAAAAAGTTGTTTAGAATCACCATCTAGGTCCATATACCAAATTTAAAAATCCCCAGCCAACTATGATTTGTCATTTAATTTGTCAGTATGAAAGATCAAAGTTGGCTTAGGATTTTGAAATTTGGGACTTATATTTTGGTTTCAAGCAACTTTTCTAAATAACTTTTTGATAAATTTGTTACCGAAAAGTTACTTTTTAACAAGAAAAATGAAAAATCATAGTTGGCCGAGGATTTTTAAATTTGGTATATAAATGGTGATTCTGAACAATTTTTCTTAATAACTTTTAATCACAGCTGCAACATAAAAGGCACTTTACTTTAGAAAAATAGGTTTTTTAAAACGATTTTTTGTACCTTTTCCAAGAGTAGTTTTTCCTATCCGGGAACACACTGTAGGTATATAGATATGGAAATATTAATTTAATTCAATTTCCAAATCATTTGACCAAAGTCAAAAGGAGCGATTCGTTTTCTAAAAATGTACAACATAATAAACACCAAATTTTAATTGAACGTTGATAAAAAATCTAAGTTTCCAAGTTTATTTCTTTTTGTTTTTTTTTATTTAACTCAACAATTTTGTTGTAAAACATCTTATTTCTATAACAAGTGGCGCCCAACGTGGGGCTTCATTTGTTTGATATGATGTTATTATAAAAGTAATTTCTAATTAGATTTTTTATATTCATTTAGAATTTATTTTTGTGCTGTAAATTTTTAGAAAACGACCCACCCCTTTTGAGTCTTTTTAATTAAATTGAATTAAATTGATATTTCCATATTAATATAACATTACTTTTTGAACTATACTTATCTATTATGTAGTTTTAATGTATGTGAGCGTAGAAACAAAATTTATACGTACTTCTTCTTGTCGTTTCTCCCACTTGTCCCTCCTGGCTCTGTATTTTAGAAGCATTCTAGTCAGTTTCGGCCCCAATTGCTTTTCTCTTTGATCCGGACTCAAACTGAGCAGAAAATACTCCAAAGTGACTGGTTTGGCGACCTTGACAGGCGCTGCCTTCGGTGGTTCTCGAGCTCTTTCTATGGGCCTGTTGCGAACCAAAAAAATGCGGTACAAAAAGTTCAAGGGGTAATATGGAACCACGAAATAACACAAATTACGTCAACTATTAAGGGGCAATGGTTATTCTATATTTGAGGGAAATAAAAAATCGAAGATGTTTTAAACATCAAAATAAAAGAAAAACATACTGATCATAGTCTGGGTCTAATAAATACCTATATACTTTTTTATTTTTCTGTAACTGCACAGTATGTACAATGGGTTTAAAATTTTTAAAATAGAATAAAATAAACTTGTTAAGAGGGTTCTGTACCCGTCCGCCATATTGGAAAGTGATCTGTCTGTGGTTGTCGTTGCGAATGCGAATTAAATAACAAATATATGGTATATGCCTACAAAAAGACATTTTTAATTATATGTTTATTAGCACAGATCAGAGACATAAAGATAGGAAACGATACGACCGCAGCAACGATGGCGTCATCTATGCGTCTCAGATGTTAACTAAACGTACACGTCGTTTATAGACGGACAGTTGACGTGGATAGCAGTTGACAGTTTGTAAAAATAAATGTCAATTAGTTGTAAGTATGTATAAAGTTCATAGTTGTATGTATATCGTAAATTTTGAGTTGAAGAATAGTTTATATTTTAAGGCGAACTAAATAAAGTGGTTGTGGTTGTTTTTGCTTGGAATTTGAGGCCATTAATTATATTTTGTAATATATCACTGAGCCGGAACATGTATTACTAACACATGTTCCAGATGAATAAATTTTATAACTCCAATGATGCGTTCTTTACCAAAGTAAGATCCACCCATGTGAGTAACACAAACTTTTGTCACAAAGTATTTATTTATTATTTATTGTTTAGAGCAAGAAAATGACTTAAAAACGTTGGGGAAAATATTTTTTATAGGAAGAAAAATATCTAAATTCCCATTATCGAGTTTGAATTAATTTTTTTAAAAATTAAATACCAATAGCCACTTGTTTGGAAAATAGGAACAAAAATGTTATGTTAAAGTTACAAATAATCAAAAACTTAACAAATATTTGTCATGGATAGATTTACAATAATTAAACGATAATAGACTGTAAGTGTAGTATTCTCTTTCTTAAATAATTTACCGTAACTAACACTGTTTAAATTTATTTAACAGAACATCAAAGTGCAATCGATATTTACACAATCTTTATTATCAGGTTTTTAAATTTCCCGCTGCGTTATTTGTTTGATATCGATAAAAGCGCCACATAGTGGGTCAGATAATAACTGCGCTCAAGCTGGTCATTGTTAAGCATGTGCTTCTTATGAGCGTTTTCTATCATTATGTCCCTTGTCTCTGTTTGTGACTTTAATAAATCGGAAGTGTGTCAATTCTACGTCAAGCAAAGGAGTGGATTATTTGATTAATTTATAGAAATCTAATTTTGTCAATCATCCACGACCGAAAATGCTATGTCTAGATGTTCTTATTAGTTCTTATCAGAGAATTGGTAGACTATGCAACCACAAATGCACAGAGATGTATTTCAGGCTGCCTAATAATTTCTTTAAAGGGGGGGATTATGGCGAAGACGTAAGGGACGAGGATTTCGAGGTTATGTATGAAATTGATCGAGCTGATGGGTATAGAATCCTCCTAAAATTTGAATATAAAAGTTTTCTTTTGTTGTCCAACCTGCAATCTGAAGTAAATGAGCCTGCGGATGTCATGATGTCCCCGGTCCAGAGATAGTCTTGGGAATCCCAGAGCTTCATTGATCAGAATGTTTCATTACTGCTCTTGATACGTAAATAGACATTATATGTACATTTCAAGGGGGTTAATTGTAGGTATAATATTTGCATTATTGCATAATAATAATTAATAGGGGTGGGTGGCTCAGTGGTAGAGTTTCTGCCTGTGGATCCAAGGATCCCAGGTTCGAATCCCACCGTTGGCCGGAATTTTTTCATTTATTTTAATTATTAAAAATTAATTCTGATGCCTTGGTAGGATTCCCCACTCGACCATTCACTGTTGGGTTCTAATTAACAGTGCTGTTCCTAAAGCGGCGCTGGGAAACAGTAACAAAGCCTACACAGAACACGAGGCGAAATAACAGCACTTGAAGCCCCGTTGACAAAAAAAAATAATAATAATAATTAATAATAATAATAATAGTTATTTACTCGATTACAATTTTTATATTTTGACCTAACCTAATTCGACAATTTAAAAACTATTTTACGCATTCCCTAGTTTTCTAGCGATGAAGTTTTGAACTTAAAAATAATATCCAGCGATTTCTAGGGACCACTTCCGTTACTTTTGTTTAAAAAAATCGTATCTATAGGATAAATGGTTTTTCCAGAATATCTGGTTTGATTTATGCCCTACCTCCTGTTACACTTTGTGTATTGGGTTAAAAATATGTCAAACAACAGATAAATTTTTCTCCATAATTAATGTGTTTTCTTACCTGATGGGCTTAGCAAATTCCAGTGCTAAATGTATGCATTAAACGAAGGAATAAGATGATAAAATTTATAATTTTTACAAAGTTTGGTATTATTCGGTGGATAAATTGGAATTAGTTTGATATAATGCTATAGGTATACAGAGTGTATGAAAATAATTTCATAAATTTTTAAATATTCATCTAATCTCAGTAAATTTTTGTAGAATATTTAAAATATAAATCCAGCCACTCTATTATTGAATATAAAAGCCCATTTTTATTAATATCTTAGGCTAGGAAACAGAGGGGACGCATAACTATGGTCTCCATTTGGCACCAGTTGTTATACGGAGATATAAAATATATCCTTCTTTGACCAAGCTTTATACAGTGGCGTAACCAGAAATTAATTAATGTTGAAGAAGCCAAACATTAGGCAATTTAAAACAGACAGTAATGAAAATAAGTAAAATTTTACGAAAATAAATATACCCTATTTTTTAGTTAAAAAGCTCAAAATACACAAATGACAGCACGGTTTATCTGGCACCAAAAAAATGGCGCCGATCGATATTTTTTCGCAATCCTCTGCTTGTCGGGCTGAAATACGAATTAGGCGTCCCTTCTCTTTCCTTCTGTAACATTAAAATACATTTCGAAAATATTTGTAATGACCTGCCTTTAATTCTTTCTTCTTCAACTTTTTCGATGCAAATTTCCATCATATCATAAAACCTATGAGACATCTTTCTTTGTCTGACACTGATCAAGAACAGGTTGGGATTATTTATTCCTTTTATGGTTAAAGGATGTTTGTCGGCAGGATCTGGAAATAAAATAATTAAGTAAGGATCATTCGTTTCATTATTTTTATTGGATCCCAAGCGGGTTGTCGTAGAATATTTGGAAGGTAAAGTAATTTAATAAACAGGTAATGCATAATGCGTGATGCTTGATGCTTGAATACATTTCACTGACAAAAGTGACAGATTAGCTTAAGTATTTAAAACGGTGTTTTAATAATTATTTGTGTATTAAGAGCAGAAAGTGCTATTTTACAGCCTAAGATAAAAAGTTGCCGCGTGACGCACAGTAATTATTTGTGTATTAAGAGCAGAAAGTGCTATTTTGCAGCCTAAGATAAAAAGTTGCCGCGTGACGCACAGCGGAGTGCGGCATTTTATCGTAAGCGGCAAATAGCTTTCCGCTCGAATTACACACGATCATACAATATTAAAAGTATATAGTTTTATGTTTCCGTATTAAAATCTTACAACGTTAATTTGACAGACACAACTAACTTGACTAGCAAACGAAAAGTATGTTATGTGTATATTGTGTTGCCTGCTTACTCTAGGATTAATTTTATGATATGCATAAAAAATATTTGTTAGTAAGTATATCTTAAAAATAACTTACAAGATCATCGGTTAAAATACTCAAATCGCAAATTAATAGCTTATACACAGTTTTAAGTTTTATTTAATTTTACAAAAAAAATCAAATTTGTGGATTGAACTCACGACCATTAGGTTTAAAGACAAACGCGCTAGGCTCTACACCAACAAGACATGTTAAATATGAGTGTTTAAAACAGTATAATTTATTTTTAAGCTATTGCATAGCTTTTATCGCGGGCTTTGAGCGCGGCGACCGAATCAAGAAATTCCGTAACACCGCAACGAAAATAAACCTAACACCCCCCACTCCGACCGGCACATCGGTGCGGCGTTGAAACTTTCAATTTAAAAGCCGTGGAAGGTTTTATTCGACCCTATTCGTATTAGTATGAAGCGGAGTTAAATATACGTCTGCGGACTGGAACGTTTGTGCAATACAAGAACTAGAAGAGCTTTCTCTGGCTTCTAATAAATTGGTATCACAAATGTTCCCGGCTGGCATAAATATTAGATATTCATTTTTTTTTGCAAGATTTATAAGATTTATAAAAATCGAAAAATCAAAAAATCGAAAAATCGAAACATCAAAAAATCGCAAAAGAAATTCCGTAACGAAAATAAACCTAACACCCCCCACTCCGACCGGCACAGCGATGCGGCGTTGAAAGCCGTGCATCGTCTAACGTCGTTTCAGTTCGGAAGATTTCGGCACGGTGTTTGTGTGCGTGCGACTAGACGTATGCGTGTAGACTAGCTGCTAACTGCTAATAACTGATTCTATCTCTTTTAGACACAATTTCAGAAAAATTGAGTTTAAAAATGAATAATGATCCACAAGAATCCACAACAAAATATGGGACCATCATTGACACGGTATTTTCCAGATATTTAGAGGATATCAAGTCTCAAACTTATGTTTGTTATTTCAGTTACCATAAACCTATAGTTTCAATGATAAACATTCCTCAATAACCTACATGTATTGTAAGATAATAAAAATATTTTAAACAGTATTAACTTCTCATTTATTAAATAAAAGAAAAAAATTTGTTTTCTTATCGGTCATCACGCTCAAAAAGTGTAACTTGAATTAATATCAAAGAAAAAACTTGAATTAATATCAAAGAAAAGAAAATACTGCATAAATAAAATAAATAAATAATTATATAATTGCATAAGTTGATAAAAATGCTATGCAATAGCTTTACCGCGGCACTCCCCGAGTGCCACACGTATTTTTTAATATTTTAATTATCATTCACATATTAAGGAAAATGTGTTTGGGTATTAAATGTTCAACTAAAAGATTCAGATTAGTCTACATTTTCTTTTAAAATACCGATTAGCTTTATAATAACAACCTTTCTAATGAAATTTTCTAATGAAAATATGCGTGAGTAAAAAGTAACTTTCCGCCTTTGAGGCAATAATGTCAAACTATGACAATTCATGGAAAACGTCATCTTTCCAGTTAGATTTGAATGTGCAAAAGCCTACTTTGGATAGTGATCGTAGAAAAATAAATATACCTAATCTACTTGTTCAAATTACATTTAAACACTCACGCAAAGACTAAAATAACTAAATCACCATCATTTATTTAGGAAGGTTGTGTTTTTTATTTATGGAAGTCGGAGGTTAGGATTCCAGCAGTTCCAGGCAGGTACAAAAAACCTGGCTACTTCACCTAGAGGAACGACGAGAACCTAAGGTAAGGTCTTTATCGTACCACTATTAATCTTCCAAAATATATTAATATCACCTCGATTAATAGATATCAACATTTAGGAAGCCATTATTATTTATTTACTCAGATGAATAAGTAAACTATAAGTGTCACGATTTGTTTGACTGGGACATATTTCCCTTCCATTATACTGCTTTGTTTACGATTCTTATGATTGGTACTGTCAACCCATTGGTGATTTTCCTCACATAAACAGAATAAATACATAGGTAACGGGCACCGATCAACATATAGTTTTGTTTGAAACTTTGAAAACAGGAAGGAAATTATTTTCAGCAAGATTGCTCTGCATGTTATACATCAAAAAAGCGTTATAATGGTTTAATGATAATAATACACCAGTGTTAGTATGGGTGTCAAACAGCCCTGATTTATCCCCTATTATGAGAAAATCAATGCCAGAATTAAAAGCAAGCCAAAATCTTTGAATAAAAAAAGCTTTTATCATATTTATATGTACAAGATTTTTTCCTGAATTGTCGGTCAATAAACATTTTAAAAGTGTCAGAAAAACGTATTAAAGTTGGTACCACTGAAAGAGAAGAACCGGAATAATTAAATACAAGAACATTCATACTTTCCTGTAAAATATTTTAACAGTTTTTTCATTTGAACTTCCGATTTTTGTAGATCGTAGTCCATTTTCTTTTTAATGACTTCGATTTTGTTCGCAAACATATCGTTTACGAAATCCATCACTCTTTGGTCCGGTTCCAACTCTTCCCTGGGAATTATTTGGCTGGGAAGTAGTTTGCTATTTCTGTTTAACACTTTCAGATAGCGATCTCTCAGGTCCTTGATCTTTTCTCTTACTTTTGCCTAAAAAGAAAAAAAAATTAATAGTGCTTAATTTAGCAAATGAAGGTTTTTTAATATAACCATGAGCAATTTTTATTGGTAATTTTAAACAAAGAAAATTTATTGATAGAAGCAATAGGCATACCTTATAAGCGTTAGCCGATTTGGCGATTCTATCTTGTTCTGCCCTGTATTTGATTTCTTCTAAACTGCTTTTGATATCTCCATCTATATCAACTACTTTGACGGGAATATCTTCACGTACAGTCGGTGGAACAACAGGTGGAGCTGCATACCATTCATGGTTGAATTTCGATACAAAAATGTTTCCTGAAAATGGTGTAAGTGACATTGTGAAATCGTATAAAATATAAACAAACAAGTATTATATATAAAAATTTGACAGAGGCATTGATTGTCAAATACTAGAAATTATGAACTTTAAAAAGAAGGTGAATGAAGGACAAAAAATTAAAATAACACAGAAGCTTAGGATTTTTATACATTTAATAATAACGAGGTGGGTTGACTCAGTGTTTAGAGTTATGACTTTGAGATTGAAGGGCCTCAGGTTCGAATCCTACCGATGACTGGTTTTTTATTTAATTTAATGAAATAAATATTAATTCTAAAAGCATAGGTATGAGTACCCACTCGACCATTCGCTGTTGGGTTCTACTTAACAGTGCTGTTCCTAAAGTAGCACTGGGAAACAGTAACAAATCCTACACATAACAAGAGGCTGATAATCAAAGGATTTGATGCCGATGACACAAAAAAATAAATTATAATTATACATATTTTAGGAAATCGAACCCACCCCATACTGAGGTTGCAAATATTCAATGAACTGCATTGGGATTCTCATCTTTCAATACGACACGTGTTGAGACGACTATCTTCGTTCCACAGAATGCGATTTGTGTGTAATAGCTCTCTTTATTCAATTCGTTACGTGTTGAGTATGCACATAAGGATCCCTGTCCTGGAGTGGGGTAGAATGCTTGTCAATAAGCTTGAGATGCGACTCTATGGGCGCAGACAGGTTATTTTTCATCTCACTCAGGAGTCTTTATAATAACCCTTTTCTATTTCACATTGTTATTGTCTAATCCACCAGCTTGTGGACAGGACAATAACAATGTGAAACAGAAAATGGTTATTATAAATACTCCCGTCTGAGATAAGCAATAAAAATGGCTGCGCTCATAGAGTCGCAACTTGTTCTATTAGGCATTCCAAACAAAATGGCTACCAGTGGGTTTTGATAGGTTATAATTGTTATGTACATAGGTGGCTGCAATGTATGAGTTGGTATTATTGGTCTGGTCATTTTCACCGACCTTGATATTAAACTGGATGGCTATATGACATAAACCCTACTCCTAATTTCTAAGCCGACATGGGTGAAAAAAACGGTCGGTGCGCATGACAATTTGGACGCCAGACTGTCAATTTCGAGCATTCTACGTCACGTTTCTCATGGGCGTACTATGATAAATTATATTATTTTTTATTAATAACGCCCTATTTTAATAACTATTATTATTGGAACATTTGTTTCAGCTGCGTATTAATCAAAAATCATTTTTAAGTGATTTTCTTAAATTAAAAGGTGTCGTAGTTGAATGTAATAAGTGTTAAATTTAATTTTGATGATCCTTTTTAGTGCATTTCGATATGCACATGTGGACGCCGAAGTGTCAAATATCACCTCGCTATGCGGCTTGATTTTGTTGATTGGCTTTGTTCTTCCAGTTTAATATATAATTGCCGCGTTTGAGAATCCACATCGGATGCATTTTTTACATCTCGAGCGTTTTTTTTATCCACATCGGACACATCTGTCCCATTACATTTACCTATACTGAATCACGTGATCAAAGATTTACTACATCTCAGATGCATCCGATATGGATTCTCAAAAGCGGCAATTAGGCATTCCAAACTGAATGGCTACTAGTGGGTTCTGACGGGTTATGATTTGGCAAAATTATGGCAACCCTGTAGGCTTGGTGATTTGACAAGGTCAATGAAATAGATAGTTACATAGATTGATCATCCATATTTTTCAAAATAAACATAAGCTTATGCCTTGAAGTAAAAATGTAAGGAATTATTTTTTTTTAAATATCTAAAGGCTAAAAATTGGTTTTAAAACACATTTTTGCTAAACCGATTCAAATTAATAAATATTTGCCGGGCAATATGGCCGCTCGTTAACGACCAGCTTTGAGCAATCTATATAACTATATATGCATTACCCACTGGTAGCCATTTGGACAGGTCGTTGGAATGCCTAATAGTTCAGTGAACATTTTGAGAGACATTGACGTTTGACAGATTGTCTGGCATGCTGTCATCGACAGGGTCAATGATACATATATGGTTGTATAGATTGCTCAAAACGTTCGTTTTGCGAGCGGCCATTTGCCTCGCAAGTGCTCATTAATCAGAATCAATTTGGGAAAATGGGGTCTATTCTGTAACAATTCCTTTATATTTAACGGCCTTTAAAAATATTTTCTTCTTTAATTCGGTCACTATTTAAACGGATCTTTAAAATACATTAGAGGACTATCTTAAAGAAATCTGTTTAAATAATGATAGAAGTAAATTAACGAATACGAACATATTTTTATAGGCCGCCAATATTTTTAAAGGCCGTTAAATATAAAGGAATTGTTACAGAATAGACCCCATTATGTTTTAAAGCTTATGTTTATTTTGAAAAACATGGATAATCAATCTATGTAACTATCTATATCATTGACTCTGTCAAATCACCAAGCCCACATGATAACCTGTCAAAACCACTGATCTGTATTATTTTACTGGATAGGATATAGCCCCCTAAAAAACGTTCCGAAAAATTGGCCGATTTGGGCAAATAATATGGCGGACCGGATGTTATTTAACATAACTTCTATTTCCATTTGTCATCACATTTGTCATTTAATTGTGTCAACAAGCTACGATGAGACGTTTTTATTGTGGAAAACAAAGTAAAAAGAGTATGAAATAAACAATAAACGTTCATTCCTGAAGACACAATATGCTTCACGTTTCCATTTTATATTTTCTTTCTTAAAAAATCAAATCATGGGTGAAATTTCCCGAAGGGCATCGCCCGCAAAAGGAATAGAAGAAGAATAAGAAGAAAAACTAATCAAATTATAGGTTAGGTATGTCAAATTATCCCAAATTTCAGTTCTGTGAACCCACCATAATTTGCCCAAATCGGCCAGCATTGTTGCACTTCCGGTCTCCTTGGTGGAACGATTTTTTAGTATGTTAAATATAGCCTATATCCTATCCAGTAAAATAATACAGATCAGTGGTCAAAACCCACTGCGAGCCATTTTGTTTGGAATGCCGGTTGGAAATTATAGAATTCTGAGAGAGGTTTTCATATCACTTTATATTATTTTTGATAGGTCTTTACATGATTATGTCCATGTTTTGTCTGGAACATAAAACTGAATAGAAAGAGATAGCATGTATCCCACTCCGAATCATAATCGATTGGAAGATTTGATAAAAACTTTGAACAAAGTAATTAGGAATTTTGTTCTAATTTATTAGAACACCCACACACTTCTGTCATAACTTGCAACTCAACAAAAAATATGGCTCATTAATAAATTGAAGAAAATCAAGATAATCTCAAAAGCATGTGTCACAAAATAATATGAGCTACCGTTTTTCTCCGAGAAACAGCCATTTCTTTGGGTAATACCACAAGAAACGTTCAATTATATATCCAAAAAAACAGCAGATATAGAAAAATATTTTCAATCTTATTAGGACTCGTCAGCAAGAAATATACCTTCTTGATTGCAATATCTAAAGGAGCCTGTAAAATTCACTCGTATACCTTGATGTTGGTTTAGCGAAATTAAATGGTCAGAAAGTAGTACCATCTACACTTAGTAAATAAAATCAAAGATCGCTATAATACCTAGTTCAAAAACTAACAGGAATAAAAGGCATGAAGGAAATTTTTAAAATGAAAAATAATTCTAAATTCTGTGATCAAGAGGTAAAATAACAAAAACAAGATAATCTCAAAGCCGTTAAATAAAACTAGTACTAAAGAAGGCACAAACTGCCAAAACTTTTACAAATGAGCACAAATGTAGTTTTATTTGAAAAAACACCTACTACCCAAGAATTTTAGAGCTAAAATTATAAAATGTAAGAATCATAAAAATGTATGTTTTATGGTATAATCAAGAAAAAGTAAAATTGGTTTTGCTATCTTCAGTTCTTACCGTCATTTCCACAGCTGAAGAAGTACTTTTCGTCATAACTGAAGCACATTTTAGGCACGTAACCGTATTGGTTATCGTGCATTGTGAATGTCCAATAATCTGACAGGTCCCGCCAATCTTCTTTTACTCTATTTACGCGGATGCTTCCATTTTGCATGGCGAAAATTAAATATTTTCTTTGCGAACTTTAAAAAACAAATTTGATTTTCAGTGGTTTAGAATTGATTTAAAAATAAATAAACTATTGAATGAGCTGTTAACATGTAAATTTACCGGAAGTGTAATAAAAAATTAAATTTATTTTATACCACGGCTTTAAAAATATGCTCAATCAATTATTTTAAACAATGTTAGAAAAAAATAATAAGGGAATGTTTTACTCATAAACAAAGCTGAATATTTCTGTATCATCAGCGTTTGCGATCATCCTGAATTTGAGAGGCTCTGGAGTCTTCTGACCCATGCGATACTCGTAAATGTAACCCGCGTCGAACCTGCAATTAAATAATAGTGTATTGTATCTACAACTATTAAAAACATATACAGATTCGGCCTAATTTTTTTTTGTATAGTGCTTTATAAGGAGCAGCAGAAAGAAGAATATTCATATGAAACGAGAATAAGAGAAAGAATGCGTTGACATTCCCATGACGCCGTGGGATTTAAAACGTGCTCACTCTTTATAAAGCTATTGAAGTTCCTCCTGTTATTCGACAGTACCCAAGAAACATTTTAGCCGAATGTGTATAGTATTCTGTAGATAAAAGTATCCATAATAAATCTCTTTTGAAAGACCGATTTTTACAAAAAACAAAGAAAATATGTCAATTAACATCCCCTGTCATCATTCCTACATTTTTTTACGGCTTCCTCCATTTTGGATTATTCTCGTTCAACTAATTAGGCATTCCAAACTGAATGACTACCAGTGGGTTTTGACAGGTTATGATGTGGCAAAGTTATGGCAACTCTGTAGGCCTGGTGATTTGACAAGTTGAGTGAAATAGATAGTTACATAGATTGATCATCCCTATTTTTTAAAATAAACATAAGCTTATGCCTTGAAGTAAAAATATAAGCAATTATTATGTTTTAAATATCTAAAGTCTGAAAATTGGTTTTAAAACACATTTTTGCTAAACTGATTCAAATTAATAAATATTTGCCAGGCAATATGGCTGCTCGCAAACGACCAGCTTTGAGCAATGTATATAACATATATGTATCATTGACCCTGTTAATGACAACATAACAACAAGGTTGTCATATCTAAACTGTCAGTACCCACTGGTAGCCATTTGGACAGGTCGTTGGAATGCCTAATTGTATGGTTAGATTAGACATATAAGTAAAACGAGTTTATACAGGGTCCCTACTATTTCTTAGAAACAGTATTGCTATTTCTTAAACAGTAACAGATAGAAAAATGGTTAAATTAGACAGAAGTTGCGCAGTTTTGTGCTTACTAAAATGGTGCTAAGAAACCTTTGATAACTACAAGTTGATGTCATTTTTCGTTTTCGACTTATCGTACGGACAAAAAACGTGTCACCTTACGGATGGACGGACATTTTTAAAAGCTGTTTAAAACTTGATAAGAAGTATTTTGATACATTTTTAAAATTGGATCAAAATTAAAAAATTTTGATTTCTTGAAACTAAACCTATAATACTTTTCACAGACTATTGTGTGAAGAGTATAATAACATCCAATATTAAAAATTTTGGTTTCGTGAAAGTAAACCTATAATACTCTTTACAGACTACTGTCTGAAGAGTATAATAAAGTGGTTATAGTCATGACTTTGAGATCGAAGGGTCTTAGGTTCAAATCCCGCAGGCAGTAATTCTACTGCATAGATAGGATTTTCTACACTCGACCATTCAATATTGGGTTCTAATTAACAGTGCCGTTCCTAAAGTGACGCTGGGAAACAGTGACAAAGCCTACACAAAACACGAAGCTAATAGCCTTAGTAGTTGATGCCGATGATACCTAATTAAAAAGATAATAATAATGATAATTAAATAAACGACTCGATTTGGCATTTGCCAGGTAGTCGTAGGGTGGAGTGAACTCAATCTTTACTCTCCACTAAGGCTGTAACGGCATTGAAATTATAGAATTTACAGAAGGATGACAAATGTTGACATTATGTGATAAGGAGAATGGAAAAAGGTAGTAGTGCGACACTATACTCTGTTTTTAAACTAAGAGGAGCGATTTGAATTTAAGTTGGCAATTCTGTAGCCTTCTGATTGGTCAGATTACAGTCAGTTTCACACATTACTTTTTATCATGAACATCAGCTAATAATTGATATTGTTGACAGTTCTGACATTTTATAATTTGATATCTCATCCATTACTTAGTTTTTTACTTTATTTCGTAAATAATAGTTTTTCAGTAAGCAATTGTATTGAAAATCTACAATTATGGATCCTTCTACACTAAGTACTATTAAAGGTAGCAATTCCTGAAAAGCCTTACAAGAAAGGGAAGACACCTTATTATTTTACATGCTGATTCTGAAGGTTTTGTAGAAAATGCATTATTAGTTTTTGAAGGCAAAAAGATGAGAGATTACCATGAAGAGATGAATTCCGAAATATTTTAGATAAAAATAATTTTATTACTGATTTTTTAAAACTAAAAATTGATGAATTTCTAACCAAAATGATTAAAATGTAACTAAATATTCAAGCAAATTTTATTTATTAGAATAGAATAAAACTATTTACAAAATTGTTATAACATTTAAAACACCATCTACTACCTACTTTAGGGATAATCTTAATTTGGCACAATGAGTTAACATTATTTTCACAAAAATAGGTATGTATGAATACTTCACTTTAAAAAATATATGTTGACATGTAGTGTTATGAAAATGTTGGTTCCAGTTTTCAAAACAAATTCTGACTCATAGGCCTGTAAACTTTTGAATGCCCTTATTTGCCCTCTAGTGCATTAACCATGGGTTAACACTAAATAAGCCATAATATCCACATTACTCATAGAAGAGATACCAGTTACTGTGTGATCCACTTGTCATTCACTGATTAACTTTTACTTTTTATACCTATAACAAATATATCCTTAAAAATGTAAACAGATTTTTATATTTTATACTAACCTGGCTACATCTGGATATTCCATTAACAATTTTCTTAAATATTTAATATTCATTTTAAAAAGATCATAGTTATTCTCAAAAAGTCGATTTCAAAAGCAAGAAAAAAGTATTTCTGACATCAATCAACAACCATATTGACTTTAATTTTACAGTGACATTTCGTTTTAGACACACATTTCAGATCACAATAATGTGAAATTTGCGACCGTTGTCTGGAACCAATTAAAAAATTACTTCTATGACATTTATTCGTTTCTTAACCGCTCATTGGCCGTTCACCGACTAAGGCCGATAAAGATAATTATTTCATAAATTTTGAACACGACTATATTTCGAAACTCGCTCTTAGTAACAAATCTAGTTACTTTTCCCTGTGTAAATGCGTCTTTTCAATTCGCTCCTCCTAGTTTAAAAACAGAGTATAGTAACTAAGATGTGCTGCATAAGTGTATCTTTTTATTCAACTGTTGCAACAACGTTGAAATCGGTGCAGTATATTCCTGTCTTTTTTTTTATCAATCTATCAATGATGAACTAACAATGTTCTCTTTTTATCCAACGTTGCTGCAATCGATGCAACACCAATCCATCAGTTTCAATGTATGGTTTTTCCGATTTGATGTGACAACTGACAGCTAGGTTGCGAGAATTAAGGAATTAAATAAAGATTTATTTATTCTATTGTGGGGAAAAACCGAAAAAATTGGCTTTTAGAAATACATACTTTCAAATTAAGGTATATAGGTATATTCAAATAAAATTATGAATACAAATTTTAATCCAAAATGTCAAACCTAATCCAACAAAAGACGTTCAAGGTCGCATCAGTGAAACAGCGATTCCAACAAACTGATGGAAAAAAGACACACGTATATTATTGCTAGTATAAGCATACATCGATGCTTTAAATGGAAACTTGCTGAGCTTAATAACTACAAGAATAGAAAAAATTATTACCCGCTCATAGACACCCAAATGGTACCTTCATCTGTGTATTGCAACCAAAATATTTTTTGTTTCGGAGGAATGTAAAGGGGATCTAGTACTTCTTCTTCCTCAGAATCAGCTGAAATTAAAAAAAAATGTTTACAGCAAACATGGACACCACACGGCCTCGAATAAGATTTTTACAGTTGTGTTTTTGGCACCCACCAATAGTCCCTAACGTTACATATAATTATGTAACATTTTATTTGATCTAAAAATCTAAACGTATAAATTCATGCCTTTTGATGTTTTTTAATAAAGTTGGACCCAAAAAAAATATTAATGTTATAGTGAAAATTGTGAAAAAATAATCTGTGTACTAATAATGGTAATTTAAGTAAGTCACCTGAGGGTACCTAAGCAACTTGTGCATTGTCCCATTTAAGTTGTTAAAATATAAATGGAATGGAGTGTTTGTAATGGGAATAATTCATCGAACTTAATTTACCAAAAAACACGTCTTCGTCTATATCCACCCCCGGATTCTCCGCTTGCATTTTGATCAAATCCAACATTTTTTTCTGCCTTCTCCTTTCCTTATGCCGACTCACTTTTCCCAAATGGATGTTCCTCCTGATCTGGGATTTGTACGACATAAAATCCAAGAATGTGCACTTCGGTTTTTTCAGTCGTAGCGTAACTGACGTGTCTTCGTGCGGTTCTGTGGGCAGTACCGCCTCCATCATTTGACCGTGTATGCATCCGACCAAAATCGTCGTTTCCTTAACATAAATATATCATTTCACAGCAAGGGTTTGACATACAAAAACATACCTATTTATGTTATATAAAACAATCACATACTTAACTAATCAAAAAAATTAAAACAACAAAAAAATTATGTATAAAAGGATTAAAAAACTACTTGATCAGCATGCCCGGCAAACCACTCTGATAGAAAGGTCAAACCAACATGCTTATCAATCAGAAAAAGCTTGTGAGTTTTCTCTGCACCATCTTGTAACCAATAAAGAGGGTGGACCAACCAAAAAATATTCTTAGGATCATTTCTTAACTTAGACGGAGCTTTCGATAACACCTTTAAATCAATGGTAGCTGCCGCTCGTAAAGAAGAAATGTTATGCAGATGGTAGGTACAGACACAAATGTTCGATAAAACCGTGCAGGAGAGGAGTCCTCTATAATCTACTAACTGTGAAACCCAAAGACATTACAACATAGAGACTAAATTGTTTACATTTTTATGTAACAAATCATTATTCCCACCAGATTCTCGTTTATTGCGTCTTTGCCGATTTTATCAGTCTGTCAAAATTATTTGGAGAAATTACTTTCGAAAAATAAAATTTGATGTGTCCTGTAACTATAATTTTATATTATATAAATAAAAATATGTGTTTAATCAAATTATTCTTTGAAGTTTTAATATAAGCTAAATTTTTTATTAAAAAATCAATATTAATCTAAACAAAATATTAGGGTTTCGAAGAACTCCGTAAATACGGCAACGCTGAATATCTTATTTTACGAATTTACAATTTTTATGAATGAAATGTAGTACCGTAACCAGCCGCAACGTTGCAAATCAGGTCTAACAGCTATTTTGTATTTCTGACAGTATCTGACAGTTTCTGTGTGACTTATTGATTTATTCCTTTATAAAATACTATTTTTGTGAACTTTTGTGAGAAATATAAAGAATTATGGTACATGCATGTGTAGTGTTCAAAAAGGTAGATCATTTAAGTCGAAATGTATGGTTTCATCGGTAAGTATTTTTAGGTTAAGATATGTTGTTTTCATTTGAACCAGTGGAGTAGGGCTTGTACAAGATTTGATACAATTTCTTATAGAATTTAAATTATATAGGATCACATAGTAAATTGTTTGAAAAATGATTATCAAATCTAATTTTTTAGACAATTTACTGCAGGTTTGATAATATACAATTTAAATTGTACAAGAAATTGTGTCAAAAACTTGTGTAGTCTAAAACAGTCTTAAAACAGTTTTTAAAGTGATATTCCTTTTATAAATTAGTAAATTTTTCTTATACCAATAAATAATTATTGAATAGTGGCAAAGAAAATTTAACGTATAATGTAGAATACCTTAAAAATGATTTACCTATTGAGCACCTATACATATTTTTTATTACTCTATTTAGGTTCCCGCAAGATCCTGAGAAAAGAAAACTTTGGTTTTCTCTAATAGGAATCCTTGAAAATCAGCCCCTTCGTAAAAACCCAGAGTTGTGTTTAGAACACTGTTTTCCTGAAAATGTTTTGATACGCGCAAATGGTACTAGATATATTAGAAAAGATGCAAACTCCAGACGGTGTGAGGGCTTTCTATTTGTGGATGACTTGTCCAACAGGTAAAAATACAAAATATTAATTTTTTTTTTACCTCTAAACATTATTTATTACCTATGTGTATGTATATCTAATGTATGGGTTTTTAGTTCTGATTCAACTGTTTTTGGAACACCACCTGCTGCAAAAAGAAACGTTGCAGTAAGTTATAACATTAATAACTAAGCATAAAAAAATTAAATGAAATTTTATTTAATAAAATTAAAGTATTTTATATATTTAAAACATTATTTTAAAAAATTTTACAGTTTTTTTACGATATTTTTTGCCATACCATGTTTTTTTGTAATCATTAATTAAAAAATTATATATTTTTAGGACAGTGTTTTATTTAGATACCCCTACCTACTTAATGTTAATTTAAAATAATTTTGGTTAACATCATACCAGGCAAATATATTGTAAATGCCAATAAACTATAAACCAATAAATATTAAAAATCGAAAGGTAACTTGAATTCGCTTGTATTTGAATTTATTTGTACTTGGATTTACCTACATGAAGAATCAGCAAGTATCATGCAAAACTATTGTCATATACTCTGAAGGCAATTCTCTCACCAGAAATCAAATCACGACTGGTGAAAGACTGTCTAGAAGACCTAACAGAGCTAAGTAGTTAAAATAAGGTGACCTTAGCCTGGGTTCCAGGCCATGAGAGATATCAGGGCAACGAAAAGGCCGACGAATTAGCCCGAGGAGGCTCAGATAAGGCCATGACAGGCCCCGGACCCTTCTGTGGAGTTGCTAAGGCATTGTGCAATGCATCCATTAAACAATGGATGCAAACAGAATTCCAGAAATGGTGGAACAACTATCCAAGACTAAGATAGGCCAAACAGTTCATCAAGGAACCATCGGCCAAGTTCACGAAAGACCTACTGGATCAAAAGCGTCAAATCGTTAGGATAACAGTAGGCCTTCTTACTGAACACTGTCGCCTCAAAAGGCACATGAGTGTCATAAATCCAGCAGAAGAAGCAACTTTGTGCAGGTTCTGTGAAGAAGAAGAGGAAACAATATTCCACGTCCTGTGCCAATGTAAATGCCTGGTTGTAACGAGGTTTCTAACATTGGGCGAAGAAAAGCCAATTGCATGCAACTACATGCGGGAGCCACTGTCAAAGCTACTAAGACTAATAAAAAAGACCAGGCTAGACGACATACTCTAAAACAAACAGGAATCCCACAATAGATCTGAAAAGGTCGCGGTGGACAAGGACAAATAACGTCCAACTCATAATCTAATCTACATACATGAAAAAATCATCATAATTATATTACCAAAAAAATATACCTACATATTTACGTATTTTTTTAACATACTACACTGACAATACTGGTAAGTTTAAAACACTACGCCACTGGCGAGCATATTATGGACACTGTTTACAACGTTGCCAGCCGGTCATAAGAGATATGTCTTTCTCTCTTCCACTCACTAACAATTTTAAAACAATAACAGTCCGCAATTGTATGGGATTTATGAATGAAACATTTTGTCTATATGTTGTAATGTCTTTGGTGATACCAGTGTTCCCAGTCAGTACAGTTGTACTAAATCTAGTACGTTCTCAAAGAATCTGGTACTCTAGTACACTCGAAGCAAAATCTAGTACTTTTTTCCCGGCGTGCAACAGCGTATGTATCCATTTGACGTGTAAAATATATTGTTGTCTCAGATAAATAAATAAATACATAAATAAATAAATAAATAAATAATAGATACAAGGTGATTGTTTGAATTTGAACAAGTGCATTTTCTATTGTTTTATTAAATAAAGTAGTTTATTTAATACATTACATTTTTATTAACATCCCATATTAGAAACATTGGTCTACTGAAATATATCAATTCTAATAAAATAATTTAAATCAATAGCATTTCTATTGACATTTATTTGATTCGCTACTGGATAATAATAAATCAGTCTGAATAAGATAATTCAAATACGTTGTATTTGGCATGCATGTTCTTATTCTAATGTCCTAATAATTCTTTGTTGCATTTTAAATAAAAACATAACGATTATCTTGAGGTTTTTTATGGAGCCAACCTACAATAGTGGCTCCTTATTACGCTGCTTTTACTTCAGCAAATTTACTAGAGAAAATATTATTTGACGCATTTGCTAAAAAATTAGGAAAACTTAATAAATTAAGATCAAAATTTGCTAAGTTGGCGAAAACAGAAGATTCCATGCCTAAAACAGGAAAATAGAGCCAAAACAGTGGATCTACTTTAAAATAGTAGGTCTGGCAACACTATTCGTTGCTATCAAATGGTTGCCGGTCTCCTTGCCTCGGCTTCCAAAATGTTTAACGCGTAACGTAAATGCATCTGTCTCCTTCGCCGTCGCTTCTGCTGTCGTATGTCGCGCGTTCCGAAATGGTACCTTAAGGGTGACAGGAATGGGCGCTAGGGAAACCCTTTTGGTAAACCCTGACAAGACATAACTATAACCTTTACTCAGAAAACAAATTTAGTGGTCTTAGGAACTCTGACACTGGAGGAAGGTTAAAAAGTATAAACTTAGTAAAATATTAATACAAGTTGTATATATTTCTCTAGTATTTATTGTATATCATAATCCATTTAAATTAAACTTCAAATTATATTTATTACTCAATCTCAATAGGGCGAGTGCGAGTAATCTGAAGAGGAAATTATAAGCTAAGATTTTAGACTGGTTGTTGATTTTTAAAACTTTGTATAAAATGACTAAAGAGAATCGTTTGACCATTGCTACATCTTTATTTCGTAGCGTTTTAACTATTTACTGAGGCCCTTCGTATGGAGCCTCAGTATTGCATTCGTGCGAACGAAAAATTTTCTGACCCCATTTTTTAAAACTTTTTTTCATGTTTCTGATTATTCTGAGTCCGAAAATGCAAAAAAAAAATCGTCTGGTCGTCTGTATGTATGTATGCTGGCACGATAACTCTAGAACGAAAGTTCTGATTGACTTGCGGTTTTGATTTTCTTGAATAATTACTTCTAACTTAGAACCCTATTGATTTTCAGAATTTTCGGTTCATCCTAACTACTTTAATATCAATTTTCTTAAAATCCACCTATGCATTCCTTGTGTGACAAATTTAGGAATTTCAATTATTTCTAAAGTCAAAATTCCTAACATTCTTTACATCCATAAATTGCAAACATTCTCTAACGACCTGTCAAACAACAGCTGTTGATAGTAAAGGTGAAATTTCTAAGGCGGGTTGCGACCTTCATACTTGGCAATCATAGCCATTTTGGAGGCTATTTTCATTCGAAATTAGTCGCCAAGACTGCCAATTTATGAAAAATATATAAACAGTTTCTTAAAAAATTACTTTTTTATGGTGGTGCCACGGCATAAAAAAACAATCGACAGGCCCACT